TTTCCTTTTTGCATGAAGTTTGAAGGGTCACGTCTTGTAATAAAAGTACTTGTATCGTCTGCGTAGATGATAAATTTATTATTAGCACAAATATTTACCATATCATTCACACATATACATATATATAACAGCAATGGGCCCAAAATGCTACCCTGAGGTACACCAGCCTTAATTGGTTTGAATTTCGACACAAAACCATTAGTAGTGACTTGCTGGTGGCGATGATTAAAGTAAGAGATTATAAGTTTTAAGAAAGTACCTCTAAAGTCAATACTACAATTTTTCGAACAAAGAATCGTGGTTAATTGAATCAAATGCTTCTGAGTAGTCAATGAGTATGCCAAGTGTACAGAAAGGATTTTCAAAAGACTGTAAGAAAAGTTTCTTTTGGCTCGGGAGAGCCGTCTCAGTTGAACATTCCTTTCGGAAACCAAACTGGCAAGGTGTAATAACGGTATACTTGGTTGAAAATGAAAGACTGGACATGCGTTAATATATCAATTTCTCAAATGCATTTAGGAAAGACTGGAATAATTGAAATTAGCCTATAATTGGAGAAATTATTGATGTTGCCACCTTTAAATACAACAGTTACCTTTGACATTTGTAGTTGTTTGGGAAATTAGAAAACAAGGTTAATAGAAAATAGGCCATTAAATAGGTTAATAGGCCATCAGAAAACAAGGTTAATAACATGTTCCAGAATTGGTGCGATAATGTCGATTACAAATTTTATAGGTCGGATCTGCAAGTCATGAACATCCTTACACAAACTATTTCTTAGTGACAAAACAGATGTTTTAATTTCATGCGCAGTAGTTGGACACAAAATGCAGTTTGGATCGTGCTTACTATTCACAAGTGATGTGAAAAAGTCATTGAAAGAATTGGCCAAACATACATTTGTTAACACATCACTATTAATATTAATTGATAAAGTAGATTGTTCTTGGGTGTAACCGTGCAGCACACTGTTTAATTGCTTCCACATCAGGTGTGGCTTTTTAAGCACTTAGAAGGTAAAAAGATTACTTAAGTACATTCATTTCGCTTCTCGGAGCTGTTTGATCAGTTGCTTCCTGATCAGTTGCTTCCTTCCTGAAGCCGTTAAAAGCGTGTAAATCTGTCAAAGCTCTTGTTTTCATAAAGATCTAATACTTTTTATCTTTTTTTTTTCATGCTCTTGAGGTGTTCCCATGTGACCCATGGCTTTTGGCCTTTCCGAGCTTGTTTCAGTGGTCTACATAGAAAACACCGTTCATACGCTGCCTTATAGACATTTAAGAACCTACTATGCGCTGCCTCTGGTTCAGTTGCTTTTAACACTTGGCTTTATTCTTTTAGACGCATGTGAGAGCGAAAGCTTTTGCAAAGTGCGATAGTTTGTCTGTAAGATTTAGTGTACGGGTGTCGTCACGTTGTGGGGGCTTCATTTGTGCCGATATTAGATAAATGGGTAGGTGATTGCTTACTAAAGAACTGATGATGCCAGAACTGAGATGATTGGGTGAAATATTCGTAATAAAGACGTCTAGTAGTGTTGAAGAAGTTGGTTGCACTCGTGCAGGTAGAATTATTGCATTAATAAAGCTGTTTGCGTCCAATATCCTACAAAGTTCATTGTGGCTTGTTGATTGTTGCAAGCAGTCTATATTTATGTCACCTCCTAGAATGACAGTGCTGGCATCATTATTAAAATAACTTAGGTAGTTCTCTAAAAATGTGAAGAAATTACAAACACTCGCGTGAGGTGGATAGTACATAATGGTGTACACTTTAGCGCCATTTTTGACAATAAGACCTTCGAAATCATCAGTTGTTCTAGAAAATTCTTCCATAATAACACAATTCGCGCCATTCTTCACTAACATGATTACTCCGCCTCCTTTTTTAAGGCTACGGTTTACGAAGAAACAAGTATATCCTGGAATTTTCATCACGTCTGCAGCATCGCGATGCCATGTCTCGCTAAACATAACACTCAAACTGAAATGAAAATCCATGCGCGATAACAAGTTTTGCATTTCTTTCTCTTTATTTCTAGCAGACTGAGTGGTAATATGCAGGGCAGAAAATGAATATTTGTTTTGTGACAACCCCAGAATTTCTGAGATTAAGAAAACAAGATTTTTTATGTTTCCCGTGAGAAACGGTAGGCATCTGCTAGACTTACTCTGTCTTATCAAGGTCGCTAAGCTTCGTGACGTGAAGAACACGTGACGACTCATTTTTTCTTGCAAAAATTTTGCCTTCTTTTGTCCAGCAGAATCGCCAGTTTTTCTCATTTTTCTTGACTACCGTATTTCCAAGAAGCACTTTCAAAGCGGGGCACAGGTGCTCGTTTATGTGGATAGGATGGCGTTCTTGGTGTCCGATGTCAGCCGTGGTCGCACGTTTCTTTCGTGCTTTTTTGAGAAAAGCATTTCCTTTTGAGCGGCTATGGAACTGCACAATATTTTGTCGTGAAGTGTCCCGTGTTGGTACACGGTCGCAAGCCTCAATGTCACTTTTGAAAACAGGTTCATTTACTGCACTTTCTATAGCCGCAAGTACGCTTTTGAGGTTTTCATTAGGTGTCATAGGAACACCCTTAATCTCAATGTTCCTATTTCTAAAGTACTGTTCCAGTTGAGTGATTTAGTTCATTCTCAATCACATTGTTTCATAAAAGTGTGCATTCGTCCAGAAATCACTGTTGGCTGTCTTCAGTTCGGCATTTTTAGTTTCAATTTTTCAATGACAACAGTGTGTACTAATTGAATAGTGTCTGCTTAAGTCTGGCTCTCTTGGTTATGGGCAACTCTGCGAATAAGCCCTGTTGTGCTCTGGCCCCGGACGTCTGAGATGAGATAGCACTTGTTGGAATCGATAGCGCCCTCCTACCTGGCGCCTCGTTCCCCAGCTGCCGCGCGCGCGCCAACAGCGTAGCCCGGGCGCGCATAAGCACCGGCATCTGCCAAGATGGCTGCCGGGCACCTCTTGGTCTGGGCCAGTCAACCGTTGGCTTCTTCCCGCGCTGGCATGTCTGGGCACGCTACGCTAGCGCGCCGCGCGGGCCTAGGTCACAACGCTGCGCCATTTCCCTTTGGGCCGTGCGTACATCCTCCTCTCCTACGAGCTATGTTGCGCCCGACAATTCGCTCGTCGCGGCAGATGCTCTCAGGCCTCCACGAGAGGTTGACGCCCTGCTTAGCAGGCGGCTTCTCGTTCGTGCGTTCGACTTCGACCCTTGTGCGGGAGTCGTCGCGCCCTAGGCAAGCGTACTTGCTCGGGCTTGCGGAGTTTCCTGTACGGCCTGCAAACCCGTGAGTGTCGCACTGTGCTGCATCTCGGGTTAATAAACCCGTTGTTCTTGTTTTCCTGCCTCGTGCGTGGTTTCTGCGCCGTGTCGAAGAAAACGACGAACCCGGCCGCAGCGTCGTCGCACGCAGCGGCAGTGGAGGACGTCGCATCCTTACACGGTTGCGCTTAGTAGGTAAGCCTATTGCAAATTTATCTCCACACACTATACTTACGCTGCCTGTTTCCTACATGCGCATTGCAAGTATGCGTAGAGGAAACACGTGCTTGATGGGCTCTCCCTCCAAGATTTGCAGCTCTGAAGCCGTTGTTGCGCGGGTATATCTTGATCTGATGTGGATGTATGCCGATTTGGCTGCAGCGCACTTCACGCCAGCTCGCTTCATGTAAGCTTCAATGGTGTTGACGACCCATTGCCTTATGATCCTTTGATGGTGTAAGAAAATATGACTGTACCACGGAGGGCTACACTTTTTGCAAAACCTCTTTGCTATGAAAGCGAAGTGTGTGCAAGCCACCCGCTAATGGCTGCTGAGCTAGCGCGTGTGGCAGCGATCGCAACTGCTTCCTTTGAGGTAAAGCCCAAAGTCGCTGCTCCAGCAACACGCCCCCCCCCCCCCCCCCCATCGTTCTTTTTAATGCTCGTTCAAGACGGGTAGGGTGTTTTCTCTGCTTCGACAGTGGGCCTTCCAAGCGAGGTGATATTATTGCATACGCCCTTCGAGGACAGAAATGGGCCGGCTGGTTTGACCTCGGCTTCAGCCATGTTCGGCGCCCCTACTTGCGCGCTTTTGTCCTACTTGTGCGGGGGGGAATTTGGACTTTACATGAGACATGACAACAAAGGCTAAAACACTTCAAGAGCATCCATATGATTGCTATTGCAATAGTAAGGCTATTGCACAATTTAGCGTAGTGTTTAAATAATGCGGCACCAGACAAATATAGCATTGGAAGCATATGAGGCTAACATTGTACAGCTACATCTGACCTCACTGCAATATGGCAAACACTCTGCCGTACCTCCTACTGCAGTGCAAAGTAAGTGTCCCAAGGCTACAAGCAGCAGCACCAAATGAGGATCCAAACCTCCTCAGTGAAGCGTGAGAGGCAGCGATCTCCCAGCCGGAGCTAATTGTCCAGCGTCAACTCGTCCCTCAAGCCCTGCGGGCGGTCCAGGCCAGAGGGCTCCTGGAATAAGGGACTCTCCCACCCTCACCCATGAGCTTTACTCAATAAATGTTTTCACTCTCTCTTTGTAAATATGTATCGTAAAATGTCTAGCAAGCACGCACCCCATACAGTGAAGGATAATCCATCCAGGTGGGGAGGAGGGAGATGGGAAGGGGAGCTCAAGCTTAGTCTCACATGAAAAATAAATGTGGAGGCAGAAGAGCCACAAAAAGTCTATCCACAATGTTTTCAATGGAATGTTTTATCGTTTTTATTCTGGTCATATGACAACTGAATGTCATGAACAACATTAGATACGAGTTCAGTGTACTTATTCTTGTGGTTCTGTTTACACAAGCAATGTTAGTCTTAGAAAAAAAGAGTGGCTGACAGGGAGTAGGGAAGAGGCCGCCTGTTTAGCGTTTTACGGTAGTAAGTCAAACGAAACATAACATATCCAGTGAACTTGAAAACTGTCTCTTCTATAAAAAAAAACTGATTGTTTGCGGTACATGGTTTCTTGACAGAGGAGGAGTGATTCGGAGATTTCGTTTGGACATGCGCTTTCTAATGGCTGTGTCCTTGAGCTGTCATCAGGAAACTCGCCTGTCGGAAAGAACACCCTTGCCACTGCCGAACCTCTGCAGGTAAGGCTGTTTTGTACAGTTCACTGCTCTCCTGAAAGTGCTTACGGAAAAGAAGTAAAGGTAAAAGGAATGCAGTTCAAGTGTACTTAATTATGACCTGCTCTAATGGGTTGTCAGTAGGCTTGTCCATATAATAAATTTTAGTTTCAAAGTGAATTAAAAGTGAATAGTGATTTGGTCAAATAATTTTGAATTGGATTTGAATATTGTAATATCACATATTACAAAGCACATTTTCCCTGACGTCCTATGCTACCGTGGATTACTTGACAGAAGAGAATTAGGGTTGGAGTCTTTTATCCACAAGAATATCTCTGACAACATAGAGGAATATATACTATATTTTGTTGGGTATAACCCAGTGCCGAAACCTGAAAATCTCAGTGGCCAAGTGGTAATGCGGATATTGTGGGGTTTTTCATATAGTGCTGCTTCACAGCAATGCGTGTTATGCGGTGAAGCCCCTTAACAGTGTAGCTGTGGAGGCGGTTTACACAAATTGATGTTGCCCCCCAAGTAGCACGGCAGCCGACTTCGGTTTTGCTTCCTTGCAGCGCTTAGAGAAACATTTGGGGAGAGACTACTTGATTTCTCATTGTAAACTTCACTGTCGCATTATAAGTATGTTTTTGGACGTTTTGCTCATTGTAATCTTCACTCTCACATTACAAGTATGTTTTTGGACGTTTGTGGTCGCACAGTGACCCTCCACCACTCTCCAACATGCCCTTACATCACGGGTGCCATGTCTATCTTGAAAAAAAAAAAGGGCTTGTTGAATAGGTAGTGCTGTTGAAGAAATAGAAAGAAGAGGAAGTCGTGTTTGCAAAGTGAACAATACCTGTATCTTTCTTCCCTACGACTTCCTGCAATCGTTTGAGTTCCGTAGTTGAAAAAAGCTATTTATTTCAGCAAGGCAAATGAGATATCAGTAATTTTAAGTACTACTTTTGGTGCAGTAGCAGGCATGCATTTTGCTTCTGTTGCTTTCACGGTGCTGTCAAGAAAAGTTGTCATCAAGTGTGAACTCTTTTTATCGCGCCGATATCAGTAGTTTTCCATATCTCGACCCGTTCGCCAAGCCTGACTCGATCTGTTCTGTTACCATGAGTAGCGTCCAGCAGCAGTCCTTCACCCCAGAGCTTTAGATCATCATCGTCGCCAAGGGATAGCTAATTGGGAAGATGGCACGACGAGTCCTGTATGCACCAGTGGAGAAAGAAGAAAGCACCATAACACCGGTGCTTACCCTGAGCCGAAGGTGCACCTCATAAAGTTCATCGAAGATGTGTGAAGCAGGGGTCACGTTGCGAGATGGCCTAAGTGCGGAGACTGTTGAGGGAGCTAGGCCTACCTCACTGATTCCTTGCGAGCTGCGAATGGCTGCACCACTTGACGAAGCAACAAGGGCTCTCTAGTGCTTGAGCAGTAGCTCTAGTACAGCCTTTCTGTATATGAAATGTGCGGGCGACATGCGAGCTGAAAATGGGCGTGCAGAATATATGCAGGGGCGGATTATATGCATGAAAATACGGTACTATAGCCGTATTTTAGGCTGAGCTTCTTTAACGTCTATAAGTCCACTTCCAGCTTGTGTGCTGCTCGCATATTTGATGTACAGAAAAGGCTGTACTAAAGCTACTGCTCAAGCAGTAGAGAGCCCTTGTTGCTTCATAAAGTGGTGCAGCCATCCGCAGCTCGCACGGAATCTGTGAACTAGGTTTAGCTCCCTCAACAGTCTTCGCACTTAGGCTATCTCTGTCGATACGGCACGACCCCTGCTGCTCAAATCTATGAACTTTACGAGTTGCACCTCTTGCTCAGGGTAAGCGCCGGTGTTGGATTCACGAATATCGCAATCACTCTAGTGAAATTGTATATGCTAATTTAAAGAATGATCACTTTTAATTAATAAATAAAGTAAACACGTATTCTACCATGCAGCTTCGCCGGCCATTCCCTTTTTTAGGAGGATGGCCACGACAGAATGGAATGGCTCACAATTTTATTAGGGGCGATTGTGGAAAGTATCGTAATTAGTTTTAACGAAAGGTGCAAGATGAAGGTGATACAGGACGACACGCCTACATCTAATCATGATGATCATTTAGTTGAATGCTTTTACGATGAAATAGTGTTAGCAATTGATAAAGACACAGTATACTGTCTATATTGATGGGCAACTTTAATGCCAAAGTAGGCAAGAAGCAGGCCAGAGACCATGCAGTGGGCGAAGAAGGCATTGGCTCTAGAAATGCCAGAGAGGAGTTTGCAGAATGTAAGAATTTAGAGATTTTGAATACCTTCTACTCAAAACGCTTTGTTATATCGCCACCTTTCGCAAAGTGCTGTTCTCTGCTGAGACTCTTTCACATTACTTTAGTTTTATGCATATTATTCTTCAGACCTACTCTTCTGCTTTCTGGGATGAGTTCAGTACTGATCTCTATGTCAAATCGAATTTTATTCAAATTTATTTCAAGGTGAATTTGAATACTGTGATGTTCTTTCGAATATTCGAACTGCTCGAGTAGCGGCACAAGCCTAGTGTTGCAGAAGATGTGACAGCCATGCTGTTCATATGTCGGCAAACTCGCGTCAAACCATGAGTCTGTGTGAGCCTGACGGAGAGAATTTTAGTGAGTCCCAAGAACAAAATGACTGAGATTTTCATTGTTTTGCTGACCTTTGTTTCAGGCCCATGACCATGGCATCAAAGCGGGTGATGGCATTGCTGCGGTTGCCTGGATGATCATCTTTGGTGACGGCATGCACAACTTCATCGATGGCCTCTCCATTGGAGCAGCGTTCTCCGAGAGCCTTCTCGCAGGAGCCAGCATTTCAGTTGCCGTCGTGTGTGAGGAGTTTCCACACGAACTGGGTATGTGCTGGCGCTGCGCTTCACTGCCGACACTTCCGCACACCTCGGTCAAGCTCAGGTTGCATGGTAACGTAGTCAGAGTTGCCAGATGAACCGATTCATAGTTTTCAATGAAGACTAGGCGTAGGACGATTGAAAGAGGAAGGACAGGGAGGTTATCTAGTTCTCAGACCGGCTGGCTACCCTCTATTATGCCAATACAGATGAAAAAAGTGGGCTGTGAAGAAATATTACAGTGCAAAACGGGCCTTAGAAGTCGCAGGCTGTATTTCCTGCCCACCACTGGTGACCGCTATTTTGCCATGGTGCCTTTGATGTCACGTGCACCAAGCAGCAGTACTGTCACAGTTTCTGCCTCTGCAAATTGCTGAATTTCAGTGCTAAGCTCAAAATGTCTCGATTTCACGGGCAGATGACGACAGAATGTCATTCTCTGAAATGCTCATACTGCCAGCTGCTTGTTACATCACAGCTCGCGAGTGCGCCAGGGTTGCCCAACTCCCGAGCATTGCGTGTTTATAAGAAGTTCTCAATAAAATGTGCCAAAATTTCGTGAGCTTATTTGGTAATGCACAACGATGCAGACTTGTGGTTTCTTGACTTGTGGAAGAAGTTTTAAATGATGCAACAAATGTTGATGCAAGTAGCTATGGTAAAAAAAGCTGTCGCAATACTTTATACTTATTGCTCACAAGTGCTTTTGAAATATTTAAAATAATTTATATTATCAAAAATTAACTGGCTGCTGGTCCCGATGATATTAAAGGTGATCCTATATAAGCAGTCGTGTCAACAGTTTGTTTCCCTTGCCCACATTTGTAACTGTATCTGGGAAATTATCGTCCCATCTCTGTCTTGAATGTAATTGAATGTGTTATACTTAAAAGGGAACTGTATACCACTCAGAAAGAAATTTTTTGGATTGTGGTGCAAATTAGAAGATCATTCATCAGATCTGTGGCAACGAGTGTGCTTTTGTCCCTTAAAAAACAAGTTATAATTTTAATTTGGCCTTGAAGGTCAAGAAAAACTGACCGGTAGCGTCACCCAACGGAGATACAAGAAACCCCCGCATGTTGGTTCTTTTTACTTGAAAACAAACATGTATAACTTGAAATTGTATTTTACGCATTTGAGGCAGCCTTAGGTCGCTCCAGAGGTTAATATTTGCTTCTTTGTCTCACGCCTTCAAACAGGCGCCCAGTGGTGCTGTTGCTAGTTCGTTTTCTTGCCTGCATTCCTGCCTTGAAACGGCGGAGAAACGTGAGCACAGCGTCTACCGCTGCTTGTAAGAACAACAGAAATGTGTGCGTGCCTTAAATGACCACTAAGGTATTTCTTTTATTGATAAACAAAGCATGATGAAGCCTGCAGATACCACACGAGGTTTCATTTTTCGACAGAGTCGAAAAATGAAACCGCGTTGCACAATTGTCATCGCTTCCACCGTCCAGTGTTGTGGGTATTCATCCCACCAATGGATGGAGACTGAATGCAGATCGAAAAATTATGTTTTATAAGTGTCTACACACTTTAAAGAGAAACTGCTGCAAGGTTAGACACTTCAGATTGTACATTTTTTATTGCGAGACAAAAAGCAGAAAAGCAGTGAAACACAGTAGACAGTTTTTTTATTGATTGATTGATTGATTGATATGTGGGGTTTAACATCCCATAACCACCATATGATTATGAGAAGCCGTTGTGGAGGGCTCCGGAAATTTCGACCAGCTGGGGTTCTTTAATGTGCACCCAAATCCAAGCACATGGGCCTACAGCATTTTGCCTCCATCGAAAATGCAGCCGCCGCAGCCAACATTTGATCCCGTGACCTGCGGGGGAGCAGCCGAGTACTCCAGCCCTAAGACCACCGCCACAAAGCGATAGGCAGTCCTTTAAGAAAAAAAAAAACTGCCTTTTTAAAGAAGCAGTGGCTGATAATGTCGCAGCAGTTTGGATTTCAAAAAAAAAAGTCCATTGAGTTAGCACTACTATGCATTAAAGGGACCCACAACTGGCCTGAACAGGTGATTAGATTTCGGTGAAAAAGAAAAAAGCAGAATTATGGTGACAGGTGACAGCATACTTTTCTCGATCTGAGTAGAATTTATATTTTTAAATCGCATTCAAAACCAAAAGCGGCATGTCACGCCCCTAGTACCAGAGCCATGAAACACAGTTTGAGTCCTAATAACTTTGCTCAGATTATTCAAAGCGCACTAAATAAATAGTTTACATTTCGAATATATATGTTATTGTTCATTTTCGTTTGTTTTTATATGGCTTACAAGGTAAAAGAAGTACATCATGAAAAGTGGCGCTGCTTTCGTAGCCTTTGCAGGAAAACGGGTGCTGCTGCGCATACGTGTGGCCCCGTGGCATTTCCACAAATGCTCGATTCCCGTCGCGTATGGGTGCGTTCAAGAAGCACGCGAGCTTTTGAATGCGATCGCTGCGGCGGGCAAAATGCCGTCGACCTACTGCTCTGTGGATAATTTCTTCATGGGTGCTGCTGGTGGGGGTGATGGTGGCAGTCTGACGGATTCATCGCTACTGCTGTCGTCTGTCTAAACATGTCACTCTGGTGCTACTTGATAGGGGCCCAAATTTTACGCTCGCATGCGAGCCAAGATTCGTTCCTCTAAATCACTCAAGTTGTCCAGCGGTGACATATCAAAACTGTCCAACTATGTGAAATACTATGCATGAATCGTCGATCACTTGTAAAGGTGTCCGTTTCCTTTGCCAAGAATTGGCTTAGCTCGACTTGGCTAAAGTCGATGAAACGACCTGTGCATGACCGGAAGTACTAGCATAAAAAGCCCTTGTAAAATTCTGTAGCTCTTGTCAAATAATTTAACACGCTAGAAAGCAGTGGTGGCGAGACAGTAGGCTTGACAAACACAACATTACATGTTTGTACTTAGGTCTTCACTTTTCACCACTGCTGGCATTGCACTGGCGTATAATCGCTATCAGGATCACATCTAGTGCTTGCAGCATGTCTCCTTAAGACTGCATAATCGCCGTAAATCGAAAAATTCTGATTATAAATGATCTACGATGTTTTCCGCCCTACCATTCCGGGATTACAAGGTCTGACTGGTAAGCTTTTTGTTGCACTCGAGAAAACGGGTGCCATAAATATCGGTTGTGGGTCCCTTTAAAGAAAAATTAGTTGAAAAAAAGCAGTTTACAGTTCGAATATTCTTAGATATAAAGGAGGTGTCTGACTTTGTTACTCACGGCATATTATTAGGTAAGTTATATTACTGTGGTTTGAGGGGCCAGGCTCATCTGTTAATAAAACGCTATCTAAAAAATCTCTTTACTGTTGCATACTGCTTTTGATTTTTTAGATAGCTTTTTATGCGAGCAGTATGCAACAGTAAAGAGCTGTTTTTCAGACCACTATATAAACACTACAGAAGTTTCACAGGGCTCGATACTGGGTCCCCTTATTTCTTTTGTCACATACATCTGCAATATGAACCACACTAAGGAAATAGTAATTTTTGCTGATGATACTAACATATCTTTTTACAGTATAGGTTTGGGAGATGTGGAATGAAAGGCGAATACAGTACAGACTGCCTATAAAGTAAGTCGCGGGAGTCGTGAATATCCGCACTACAACCAAACGACCTTCTTCAAGGTCTGCAGTTGCATAAATCGTATTGAGCAAGCAGCCTCTCGTGTCTGAAAATCGAAGCATGGGATGCGTGGTCCTTAAGACCTTTTATACTTCTGAATGTAAAATAAATATAATGTCCGACGGCCCATGTTGCCAATAAAGTGAACAAAAAATGCTGGGTGGGAGCGGGGGAGGGGGGTGTTCTAGCAAAGAGAAAGCACCATTGTGGGAAAATTTGCGACTGATTTTCAGACCGTCTCGGTTGTGCTCATTACACCAATTACATTGAACATCGAATCACGTCTGCAACTTTACAATCTGGAAGACGTCAATCGTTCGATTTCACGGGCGCGCACCCACTTTCAAGACGTCGCACTCGAATTGTGGACCACCATTTGAGCGCTAGACGTGCCACCCTCATTTCTATTAACGATATGTATCCCTTCTTGTCTTGTGCAGCCACCGCAAAGAGTTCCGTTGATTGAGGGGGGGGGGGTCTCTCATGCGCCGGTGCCAGGCTTCCCCCTTTCCCGTCTCTGCCACGTAACCCTTCTTCTTTCAACGACGTGCGTGAAGAGAGCACACACAAAAAAAAAGGCTGCCGTGGAGTGTTGGTTTTCTCTCAATTGCCAATCTGCTTCTCTCACATAGAGATGCTTCTTCTTTCTCGTCACGTGCTGGCAATGCTGCGGCTGCGTAGCAAAGAGGTTCTGCTGCGCAGTCGTCGTCATTTTTAGAAAGTGTCGGCGCTGGATGTTTCCGTGTGCAACTTCTCTTGCCAGGAGAATGCTGAAGCCGAAGTAGAAATGCTTTGCAAGCTGCGTGCGAAATTGATTGACTCACTGCAAGGCAATTAAGTGCAGATGCGCATCACTGATATTTTCAATTAATAACGGATGTCCTGTGTTTTGTGAATAAATGTAAGTCTTCTGAAACTTTCTCCTCGTGTGTTAAATGCACATGCGCCGCTGCATGGAGAGCCCTCCGTTTATTAAAGAGGATAGTTTTTCTTGAAAACTTTTGACGCGAAAATTTTTGTATGTCTGTGCATTTGTCTGTTTGCCCATTCTTAACGGCACCAGGTACTTGAAACAGTGGACCCCATCTGCAGCGTCCACCAATGTTGCTCAAGATTTAGTGTTCATACTTGTGCAATTGTCAATTAAAAAGCAATTATTGTGCATGTCTGGGGCACCATAACAACACATATATATTCTGCATGTGCGTCTTTTACTAGAAAAGGCATAGATTAATAATTTTAAAAACCTTATAACGCTGCGCTGACCATGCAACGCATGCACGAAAAGACGAGTGTACGAAAAGGCAACTGCTGCTTGTACACTTACTTGATACCAACTACGGCATTAAAAATAATAATTTCTGGGTAGTAGACCAGCATTCGCTACGCTATATTTTGTCATTTTTCCGAGAAGCGTTGTATCTGCTAAACGCTTGCGAGGAATTGTGTGCCAATTGTTCATGCAGTGGCTGAGGTGAGATATTGTGCCTGTAGTGGGTATGCGCCACTGTTAATAACTGAACAAAAACAAACTTTTGTAATGGGTTGGGGCATTGGACGACCCACTCGTTACGCTATTTGTATTGTGCGACGACTGGTTGTTCTTTTGCTGTTCTAAAACGCTTTATTACTCGGAGTAGTATTGAAAACTGGGCAAGTTGGTTACGATTCATTGTTTGAAGTAAACAGCGCGAAAAACGAAGACAGCGAAATAGGGAGACACAGGACGAGCGCTGCCTTGTGTCTTCCTAGTTTTCTGTCTTTGTTTTTTGCGCTGTTTACCTCAAGCTTTATTACTCATAATAACATGATTAATTTCCTGACATCAAGCCTGCCTAAGGCAAGTTTTCGAACAAGTTCCAAGCACCAGTGTGGCTCAGTGGCAGAATACTGGCTGGCACGCAGCGGATTCGGGTTCGAGCTCCACTGTGTCCTTGGTGCTTTTTTTTTCTTATTTCGCAATAGTGGTTACGGACCGGTGATGGCAACAGCGGCGGACAACTATGGTGCCGTGTGTGACCTAAGTTTTGATTTCATAACAGCTTTCACTGTGAAAAAAGGCGAAATGATGTATTTTATAGCCAGATTCCTCGCTTGGGTTAAAGTAAGACAAACGGCGGCACGTTACAATCATTGCGCGGCGGCGGCGGGGTCTTTCTTGGAACTTCAGCGGTGGTGCGAACGGCGTGAGCAAAAACGGCGTGAGCAAAAACGGGTGGCGGCGGCGGCGCGGCGGCGCACAGCTCTATGTGGAGTGAGAAGTCGCTGGTTTGAATCCTCAATTGGATGCTTTAAAATTTTTTTTACAATCAATTTTTATGTGTGCCTTTTTTCCAATATTTATACGTACATATACATATTCTATACATCATGGCGATGGCAACGACCAAAATTTGCCGAGAATGCCCATGTAATTGCTATCACAATAAAATGAATCAAGAAACCCGTTCAATGCAGGGGACTTTGCGGTGCTGCTGAACGCGGGCATGAGCACTCGTCAGGCTGTGGCTTACAACTTTCTGTCGGCACTCACCTGCTTCCTGGGTCTGGGCGTGGGCATTTTGGTCGGCGACCTTACGGAGGGTGCACCGCACATATTTGCCCTGGCTGCCGGCATGTTCCTCTACATTTCCCTCGTTGCCATGGTGAGGACACGTTAACCCTTTTGCAACCGCTGACGGGTCGCATTGACTTCACTAAAACCACCTTCAGCAGCATGTCAAAACGCGACATTCGCGATCTCACATAAATGCCATCACATGCAAGACACTCCTGCCATGTGGTTGTCTAATTGGCGCAACCGTCGCAAAGTGCATTTAGAGGCTATGCCCATGCCCATGTTGTCACATACAAGCTGTCTGTAGTCATTATGAGGTTTTTCAACAAAATGACGAATTACATCTACACTCACCATCATCAAAAATTGCTCCCACACAAAACTAGTGCAGAGTGTATTACTTATTGACGGTAGATGGCCAGAACGGCCTATGTTGGGACATTTGTGTCTTGGCTTTCTTTTTATTCACGTTTTAATTGTATTGCGATGCATTGATGCCACCTTCAAGATATATTCTTGTATGTGATTGATGAAATAAAAAAAAAAAACCTTTGAAAATATGGAACCATATTTTTCAGAAAAGGAAAGCTCTGCAGAATGAGTGGAAAGAAAACTTTTAGAAATATTTGCACATTTTAATTTTCTTTAAAGCGTTATTAAGAAAAAGAAGTTAATGCGATGACGAATTCAATTTGATCTTTCATGCAAATCACGAGCTCTAACTGGGCACAAATACTGTCACGGGGTCGTGACATGGCCGAAGACAGGAAACTTTATGTTGGGATTCAACTGTTTATTTGGGCGAACCTGTGCCCGGTAAACAGAAAGTCTAATTACAGTAGCACTCTTGCACAGATAGCAGTAAACGGAGCGTCGGCCGTCGATCAACTACTGACAAGCGGCGAAGTGCGTCGGCATTTATACTCTTGCCATCGAATGTTCTAGCGTTATCGCTGGCGGTGACGTAGGTTTTAGAATAATCTGTACACTTCGCAGAGTGGGCGTGATCTCATCGAAATGATCTACTACAGTCCTGAAGCTTCTCGAAAACAGCAGGGGCGGTTTGCGCTGAGAATTGTGTAGTGTATTGGGGCGATAATAAAACTTGAGGAATGGAACGTGGCATTGCCCCCCTCTGAAAAAGCCATCGTCCCGATGCTTTAACTAAAGATGAAGGTACAACAATAATGCCAGAAAGTACAATAAATAAATTACGATACAGCAATAATACAAAATACACTGTTTCAATTTGTTAACGTGCATGAAACGACCTGAGGCACGCGATATGGACGACTTCCGATCGCAATCGGCGTCGTTGAGAGTTCTAGATGTCGTCGGGGACAATCTCGTAATCAAGTGGGCCGGGACGTTGAACCACCCTGTACGGTTCCAAGTACCATCGCAGAAGCTTTTCACTGAGTCCACGTCAGCGTATCGGCATCCACACCCAAACACGTTCTCCGGGCTTGTATTCCACGAAGCGTCGTCGAAGATTGTAACGGTGGCTGTCGGTCGTCTGTTGATTCTCGATACGGAGACGCGCAAGTTGTCGGGCTTCTTCGGTGCGTTGATGGTACTCACTCACATCGAGGTTTTCTTCGTCGGTGACGTTGGGTAACATGGCATCGAGCGTCGTTGCCGGGCTCCTTCCGTAGACCAATCTGTATGGAGATATCTGCGTCGTCTCCTGCACCGCCGTGTTGTATGCGAAGGTCACGTACGGAAGAATGGCGTCCCACGTCTTGTGTTCGACATCGACGTACATTGCCAGCATGTCGGCGATCGTCTTGTTTAGCCGCTCGGTGAGGCCGTTAGTCTGTGAGTGGTGTCGTCCGGAGGTGGTTTTTCTGGCTGTATGCCAAGATCGCTTGAGTTAGGTCAGCAGTAAATGCTGCTCCTCTGTCGGTGATAAGGACCTCCGGGGCGCCATGACGTAGGACGATATTTTCGACGAAGAACTTGGCTACCTCAGATGCACTGCCTTTTGGCTGGGCTTTTGTCTCGGCGTAGCGGGTGAGGTAGTCGGTAGCTACCACGATCCATTTGTTTCCGAAAGCCGACGTCGGTAACGCCCCAGTAGGTCCATACCAATCTGCTGGAAAGGTCGGCGAGGTGGTTCAATTGGCTACAGAAGTCCCGCCGGCCTTGTCGGTGGTGTCTTGCGTCGTTGACAGTTCCAGCATGTCCTCACATAACGAGTGACGTCGGTGGTAAGACGTGGCCAGTAGTACCGTATTTACTCGATTCTACCGCGCCCTCAATTGTAACGCGCACCCGATTTCCACGACGAAAAAAAAAAAAAAAGGTAAGACATCGATTGCAACGCGCACCCATTTTTCTCGCTGGCCCGAACGATCACACCACTCGAAAATTTAACTCCTTTCGGGAGCTTCTTCCATTTAAATGAAAAGTACGGGGGAAGCTTGTGCCCATCTGACGTGTAACAGAGCATTGCCGTCACTGTAGTTTTACTGTGGCCCGATGTCAGCACGCGAGCTTGCTTCGCCCCCTTCTTCTCGACGGTTGTGGTGCCAGGCATGTCGAAGCAAAGAGGCGTCTGATCGGCATTCCCGATTTGCCCAAGCAGGTAGCCGTTGTTGTGCCGCAAGTTTAGGACGAACCTCGGAAAACTGTGAAGCTTTTCATCGTACTCCTCCGCAAAACTTTTCGCATATGCCCGTTCATCTTTGGAGGGAAAAAAAAGCCTTTCCTCTTCATAAAGTTAGTTAGCTAGCACCTGCTCGCTTTAAACTGGCTCCGCATTATCCCTTTTTCTAAGGCTAACTGCATAGCCCGCACTTAGAGCAGTTCTGGCGTCATGGGCCGCTGTGCCGCTCGCTGCTCAAGCACATACTCGCCGAGCAGCTCTTCAATTTGTGAAAACCGACCCTGCTGTGGTCAACTGAAGCCTTTGCGTGAAGCTTTTCTGTTGACAATCTTCTGCTTTTGTTCCCGCCAGTCCCGCACGCACGTTTCAGAAACTGCGAACGACCGTGATGCGGCGCGATTTCCGTCCATTTCTGCACACGCGATGACTTCCCTTTTAAAAGCGGCATCGTGGTGCACTCAAGTTTTTGGAGTCGGCCCTTTCATGCCGTCGATGCTAATGCACTACAAGATGACGAACTCCGCAGCACACGTACGAAGTGCCGCACATGGGAAACACATAGGCAGAAATGGCCAAAGCGCCATGCCGACGCACGTAGGGGGCGGCCATTTTGAAAATGCCGATGGCAATAGAATGACCTCATTCATCTTTTTTTTTTCGTACTCAATTCTAATGCACATGCGATTTATGAACTCGCTTTACCACCTGAATCAGTGACACAACTGCACATGCTGCTAAAATGTCACCTCTGTTTCTGGACATCACAAAATGAAATCTGGGAAAACTATAGCAAAGGATTTATGAAACAGTACAGGATGTTCCATGCTTCACATTTATGGAAAAGCATGTGAATAGTGGGAGTACTTTTCCTCGAATCTACTTTATCTGTATTTCTTCATTCAGAAGAGCTTTTTCCTAATTTTCTTCCACTAGCACATTCGGGTTTCTGCCGTTACGAGCTCACAAGTGTTGGAGTCCCAGTTCAAGCAGTTTGCTTGTTTTTTTTAAAATAGCTTCTCATTAATTAGTGTTTCTGGAAGAAATCTACAGGGGATCAACTGCTACCATAGTGCTTCATAAAGAAAGAAACAGCATACCAATCAAGAAGGGTTTAAGGCAGGGGGACACAATCTCCCCAATGCTATTTACCGCGTGCTTACATGATGTTTTCAGTAGCCTAGAATGGGAACAGTTAGGCATAAGAGTTAATGGAGAGTACCTTAGTAAGCTGCGCTTCGCCGATGACATTGCATTGCTGAGTAACTCAGGAGACGAACTGCAACACATGATTACGGAGTTAGACAGGGAGAGCAGAAACGTGGGTCTTAAAATTAATCTGCAGAAAACGAAAGTAATGTACAACCACCTCAGAAAAGAGCAGCGCTTCGAGATAGGTAATAGTGCACTTCAAGTTGTAAATGACTATGTCTACTTAGGGCAGGTAATATCCGCGGAGCCGAACCACGAGATTGAAGTAACTAGAAGAATAAGAATGGGGTGGAGCCCATTTGGCAAGCACTCTCAAATTATGACAGGTAGATTGCCACTATCCCTCAAGAGGAAGGTATATAATAGCTGTATCTTGCCGGTACTTAGCTACGGAGCAGAAACCTAGAGACTTACAAAGAAGGTTCAGCTTAAATTGAGGATGACGCAGCGAGCAATGGAAAGTAAAATGGTAGGTGTAACCTTAAGAGACAAGAAGAGAGCAGAATGGATTAGGGAACAAACGGGGGTTAAGGATATCATAGTTGAAATCAAGTAGAGGAAATGGACATAGGCGGGCATGTAGCGCGTAGACAGAATAACCGCTAGTCATTAAGGGTAACTAACTGGATTCCCAGAGAAAGCAAGCTGGTTAGGGGGAGACAGAAGGTTAGGTGGGCAGACGAGATTAAGAAGTTTGCGGGTATAAATTGGCAGAAGCAAGTACAGGACCGTGTTAACTGGCGGAACATGGGAGAGGCCTTTGTCCTGCAGTGCACGTAGCCAGGCTACTGATGATGATGATGAATTAGTGTATGCTTCCTGGTTCGAGCAGCCAAATTTCAGTTTTAATATGTGCAGCTGTCATTAGCGGGCTGGTTGCTGGCAGCTCTGAAGTCATAAGGCCGGCTGTGAAGCGTCTAAACAGTGTTACAAATGTCTGCCTCTTGCTCCCCAGGATTTAAAAAGTTACATCAGCAAAGCATTCAATGTGATAGCAACAATCTATATCATTATAAGAAGCGAGGTTAGCAGCTAACACTTTTTCATCTGATTTTGCTTAGGCTACACTATGCTACAAACGTCTGCCCCTAGCTTCCCAAGGTTTAAAATTTTAGGTCGGCAAAGCATTGAATGAAATAGCAACAAATTACGTCATTACAAGAAGCAAGGCTAGCAGCTAACACTCTTTCATCGGATCTTGCTTAGGCTATGTTAACAAAAGTCTGCCTCTTGATTCCCAGGGTCAAAAAAAAATAGGTCGGCAAAGTATTGAATGCGACAGCAACAAACTTTATCATTATAAGAAGCGAGGCTAGCAGCTAACACTTTTTCATCTGTTCTTGCTTAGACTACACTATGTTACAAATTTCTACCTCTTGCTTCCCAGGGTTTCCCAGGGTTTAAAAAGTTAGGTAGGCAAAGCATTGAATGTGATAGAAACAAGCTATATCATTATAACAAGCAAGGTTAGCAGCTAACACTTTTTCATCTGATTTTGCTTAGCTCAAGGAAACGCCAGTTGAAAAGGCCACTACAGGGACTGAAGGGGTCTTGTGCTATCAATTCTCAAAACCCAAAGTAAGCGCAGTGATCCCACTCTTGCCCCAAAGTGCGTCAAATCAAATTTACTGCGTCGTCCTGTTAATATCAACGAAAATTTTACCAAACTGCATTAAATTTGGATTAGGAAACGTCTATCACCAGCGATATCAGCACCGGCGTGCCATACATGTGCACCTTTTTCTCAGGGCCACCGAAGTCGCAATCACGTACTTATAGTTACTCCACTGAATAATTAGCAGTTGTGCATGCGTCCTAAATAATCCATGATGCTATGTTTAATGCTGACGCAACTTTTGTTGTGAAAATGCACTTAACAACGAAACGCGCTTGCTGCAGAGGTTCGTGACATCTAGTCCAATCGGTGCCGTGAAACTGGCGGTGATTCATCGGCGGAAGTCGTAAGTTTCAGGAACATTGGTGATAGCTCGTTTGGAGAGTTGCGCAGCACGTAATTGAAGGAATTTTCACTAATAACTTCACGCGTGCCACCAGAATATCTGTCACGTCTACTTCTGGACATTGCGATCTAATTTCCTGTGCTTCGCATCCCCAGAAAAACACGTGAACGATGGAAAAACGTTGACACTTTTTCTCTAATGTACTTTATTCCTTGATATTCATTCAGAAAAGCTTTTTCGTAATGCCTTCCTGCAGCACATTCGTATTGGTAATCTCTGTTGCAGTAAAAGCCCCCGAAAAACCCTGCCCTTTCGAACTCGTTATTGCTAGGGTCTGAATACAAAACTTGGATGTGTTTTTTTTTTAATGTTATCTCAACAATGAAATCATGCATGCTGGTCATATCAGCCGCAATTTGTATTTAATATGTGCAGCTTTCAGTAGGGGGGCCATCGCTGAATGCTCTTGTGTTGGAAGGCCCACTGTTCGATTTTTTTATTTTTCGCGGGTGAGTGAGGGCAAAATTTTGGGCTCACCGAGGCCTTGGCTGAGCGATCCTGTTCAGAGTGATCTCATGGGGCCAACTTTATGTTGTATGCTACTTCATTGCGTTATTGCAAGGGTAAAATTTTGAGTTCTGATTTTAAGAGCTTTGTGTCCCACATGTGCCTCTTGATGTAGAGGGACGAAATTCTGATAGACACATAGCTAGGTATATAGTGCAACATATTGCGTCTGGTGTTCTGTCGGGTAACTGAAGGCACTTGCTTGTATCGTGTGTTTTCTGTTGTCGAACCCTTCTTGACAAGTTGCCAATGAAGGGAAATGTATTGTGAAGGAGGTCATTCATAGCTCGATGTGTTTTGCTGGCCCTTCAAGTCGATACAGGTAACACACAATTGTGTACATGACGCGGTCAAAACCTCTTGGGAGAGACCACTCTGTTCTGACACCGCAAGTGATTTCATGTCGTGTCCCCTTTGGCGTATCGTCATTCTGTATTAGCTAGCCGGCCTGCTGTACAGAACAAATGCCCTCTGTATTTTTGAAGGGACACTAAAGTGAATCTGTTTGGATGGATAAATGGCACCCTCTAATGACGTTAATTTCACAATCATATGTTCATTGAGAAAGGACAAAATCAAGGTCAAAGTTTCAATTTTAGGTTTTGCAACGGAATGTTCACGCACGACGTCGCAGATTTCAAAATGAATATTTTGTATTTTGGCGCAAAATTGGCCCAACAAAATTTCCTGAAACCTCACATGTTTAGTCTATGCCCCCTCTAAGAAGACAGTGTGTTTCATTGTTATTGATTAGGAACTGCATATGCCCTATTGAACTATATCTGACATAGTGGTAATTGTTGCGTAAATTTTGCTGAGGGCATCGGCACTCGCATTTCATTTCTGCCCATTTTTCCACTTACTATGCCTCATGGCAAGGTGCAGTGATTTTGGCATATGCGAATTGCTTTTAACTCTAATGGTATTGTTCGGTGGATCCCACACGCTTCTGTTCAGTGCAAGTTGCTCTCTCTTCCACAGATGGGCGAGTTGAATGAAGCCCTGGATGCAGCCAGCAAGGAGGGCTTTGTGGCCTCGGTAAGGTTCTAAGGAATATTTCAGTTCAAGCAAGTCAAAATAAACAGATAAAATATTTTTGCAAGGTTTTCATTAATTTTGACATTATGGCATAATTGTTAGGATAGGAAATGACAGTGAGCTTAGCATTTCTGAATTTTGCACAAAGATTTCAGTGTATAAATTTCACTGTGTTATAAAGTTTAAACTACTTTTGTGTAATTTGGCTGGATCACTTCAATTAAATTTTCTGAACATTGCTGTATTGATACTGAAGCCCTCAGAACACAATGTGGACAGTTTTTACCAATGAGTGCGCACGCCGGTCCCAGCAGATGCCATAAAAATATTTGACATCATGGTTAGCTGGTGTGGGCATAGAGTTTCCTGAAGGGTTATTCCAAGTGAAATGTCTCAGCCTATAATTTAACCACCGGTGATTCTATTGAAAAAAATTTTATTTGAAAATATTTTGTGGCAGCGTGACTGCCCTTTGAATATCCCAGCAAAAAGGAAAAGTTCGGGGGAATAATACGTTCTTATTTTTCCTTCAAGCTGGGTAGAGCATTCTATCGGGATTGTTTTCTTGCGTGTCATCACAAGTAAAAACATTAATTTTTAGTAGGCCTAGAAAACAAGCAAGAAAACATGCATATTCAGGCAATTTCCATAAAAACAGCAGCAACATTACAGTTGCCAAAAAGTTTTCAGCTGTTTCACCAGTCGACTTAGTACCTACCTACTAAAAATATTGTCAATCTTTTTATACAAACGTTTATTGAGCAAAATGCTAGCAAAGTTAACATAAAGTGACGTTTTGGGGATATTTATTGGTAAACTGAGCATGAATTCTAATGTTATAAAAATGTGTGAGACGTTTTATTATAGGCTTCAACTTATTTTCTTTAGATGTGGAAATTTTCGTTCTTATAAATTTTGATTATTAGAGCAAATAAATAATTTTTGATGTCCGCAACCGATTTCACTGTGAAGCACTGGCAAATAGAAGTGTTTTCCGCAGTTTTAAGTGAGTTATTGCAATCGATCATGGGTAACTTCTTTAGGTTATATTGTTTTAGACCATTTTAGATTATTTTCATTGGTTTTGCACATTGCCAGCTGTATTTTAAGCGTTTATCAATGGCTACATCACCATGCAACACGAGATGAACGAGAAGCCAAGTTTCTAAGTGGCTACATAAAAGGAGTTTCCTGGACATTTTCTACCATGAGGATGACCACAATGTAACAGCATAGAGGAACTTCACATGCCATTTGAATATCTGGCAGCAACAGCAAGTCTGCAGTGGTAACGCAAGGCGGTCAGATTAAGGCATGGCACAGAATTTTTTTTATCTGGACCAAAAGAAACGTAAGTGATATTGCACTAATTTGGTTGCCAGATTTCCACAATTCAAGAAAAGCCAGCTCGCTCGAGAAATTCACCACTGTGACGCTGTCAAAGAGACCCGACATCTGCACGTAGTCGAACTGCATGCACTATCAACAGTTCGTACTGGGGTTACACCTCAACACAAAAAAAAAAAAAAAAAAAAAATCAGGGGAGAAAGCGGGTGTTAATGACAAGGCAGCCTAGTTCGATGTCAATAATCAAGGTGTTGAAAATGCGATGAAAGCACAGCACGTCGAAACGAAAAAAACATGGAACGACGAGAAATGACGCTTTGGAAGCCAAAGCTTGCTTTTGTAATTCCTGTAAATCGTAGGACAAAGAACCATGTGATCTTTGTATCCCTGTGGCATGGAATGAAGCACAGTCGGCCATTAAATACCACAGACAAAAGCGCAACAGACATCCGCAAGTGCCTAGTAAGGCTGTTACGAAGGGAGCTGGTTCGGATGTGCATTTACTGAGTCGCACATAGTTTGCTTGAAAAGCTCCTCATCTAAGTCATCAACAGTACAACAACATGTTCTCTGCACTGAAAAGGCATCAATACTGCTGTGGTGTCATGTGGGTAAACGATATGGCTTTGATGTTGCTGCCAGATGATGAAGTGGGCCGCCGACATAGTCACATGCGTTTTGGCCATGCTAAGTGGCAAAGAAGTTTTACTATGCTGTTAGATTGTGGTCATCTTAGTGGTAGTAAATGTTCAAGATCTTTCTTTGTAGCCTCTTGGAAACCCAACAAAACAAGATGGTTTTAGAACCGAAAGGAATGTTGGCAGCCTGCATCGTGAGCTGATATTACGTAATGGTCGGTCGTCACCTTGTACACTTGCACTCCTGCATATGTGTACAGTTGTGCCGTTCCAACAGCTTGAAATCGGCGATGAATTATTCCGACTTTTCCGCGATTGGGTGGTGCCTTTTGTCATAACCATTTGCAAAGAATGAAGACAATGTGGCGACCACCGAAAAGCACGTCAGTATGACATTGCCAATAAAAAGTCCAAGTGTGTGGCGTGGCGTCGCTTTAAGCTTACTGCACGCTTTTAATAGCCGGTAACCACCTGAGTGCACAGGTACAGTGTACTAGAAGGGGGCAGTGAAATGAACGAGGCAGCCGCGCCGCATTTCGGCTGATTCTCCGGCGGGTGACAGTAGCGGAGGCGCTGTTGTTCCATGGTACTGAAGACCTCAAAAACGTCTGCAGTGGGAGCGCGCGCGCCGTAGCCTGCGAAAGCATGTAATTGCTCGTTTTTAGCCCGTTTAATGCGTTTCTGAGTATTTATAAGTAGACTCACCTGCTACGCACCATGGTGCTCGAGTAAATATACAGGCACGCCGAAATTGCGTCGATACATTCACTGTTTCAAGAGCCTGCCGACCCACAAAAAAAAGCTAGTCGGAATTTGCACGGATTCGCCTAGATTCTCAGTTAAGCAGCACGCTGAGCTGCGTTACATCATAAGTGGCTACTGGCGAACTACAAAAGGAAGAGAAGTATCAAAACTGCAATTAAATCATATGCTCGTTTTGTCGGCAGTCTCTACGATATGCAGAGCACAGTGTTCCTCATATGAGCCTACATGTGCTTAATTGTTTCACGAGAAATCTGAATATAATTAACGTTTTATAATATTTATATCGGTGACGACTCAGTCTTATTATGCTGGTTTTGTGGAAGATAACAAGTATTGCCTTTTGAAAGGCTTATTACATATTTAACATAATAAAACAACACATAAACATATTAAAAAGTGCCAATTGTATATGTAGCCCACCTGTTAATCTGCGCAAATTCATTGTAACCAGTTCTCATTTTGTATCGACAGATCAAATTGTGGTGCTTTCTAAATAATCTATTGGCGTAATGCCATTGCAAGCCAGCAAATTTATGACCATGTTTTGTACTATAAGTGTAGTTCTATTATTAAGTGTCAAAAGTGTAGGCAGGCAGTGGTGCATCTTGTCTCGAGATATTTAACTTGTATATTTACACAGTAAACACACACACACTCATATATATATATTGCCGCAACATCTTGCCTGCATTCAAACAACGCGCCCATCACCGCGCGCACAGGGGCACACATGCGCGATGTCTTGTGTTGCGCAGAGACGATGATGGCACGAACACCCAGCTGGATCCGGTTGATGTGCGCCACGCGCTCGGGACTTCTCATAAAAAGGAAGAAGAAGGCAGCTTAAGGAAATCTTTGGTGTGCAACTGACACATAGTTCTACGACCATAGTCAAATTGGGTTGTGGGCACAGGTTTGCCTTTTTAACAAAAACGTTTCATTGTAACCACCGAGTCCTTCAACATTGCTGCATTTCTGGTGGAGGTGCTGGGTAATTAATCGAAGCTCTATGAACGCAAGACAGCGTAGCCCTGACCACCAGTGAGTTGGTCTTGTGGAGCTGACACCTGTGCATCAGAAGACCAGTCGCCGTCTTCGAGGTGACTCACCAGAATTCAGTCCACTCCACTTCACGCCGAGGGAAACTCAGTCAATGGACGCCACCACCATGACAAGCCAGGTAACACCGGCACACGTGGTGATCAATCAGCCTCACCAGCCACCAGTTTCATGGCGACTCGTCTGAAGATGTAGAAGATTGGCTGAACCTCTTTGAGAGAGAGTGGTAAGTTTGAACAGTTGGGACGAAAGAGAGAAGCTCCACCGCATATACTTTGCTTTGCAGGACTTTGCAAAGACATGGTATGAGAACCATGAAACCTCCTTTACTACCTGGGATGAATTTCGGCGACAAGCTCTGGCTACTTATGCCAGCATGGATCGCAAAGAAAAGGTGCAGGCTGTGCTTGAAACCAGAAACCAACTCACCAACGAAAGTGTAGCAATGTACATCGAGGACATGATCCGCCTGTTCAGGCGCGCAGATTCCCATATGACTGAAGAAGCTGCGCCACCTCATGCGTGGGATGAAGCAAAAGCTATTCGCTGTTCTCGTCCGCAACCCACCACGAACAGTTCCGGCGTTTCATACGGAAGCGACAGCCATCGAGAAAACGCTAGAACAGCGGGCTCGACAGTACAATCGGAACATGAACTATGCACCTGCCAATGTCTTCTCTGGAGGCCAGCGAAGTGACATGGACGCCCTGTGAGAACTCATCAGGTTGGTGATCAGAGAAGAGCTCAGCAAGTTGCAAGCACCTCACACTACAACAACACTGTCTGTCGTCGACGTAGTAAAAGATGAACTGAGGCAGATAATACGCGAGCCGGAGCGTGAGCCACAGCCGATCCAACGCATTCCAACGTACTCTGAAATACTCAGACAACTGACGGCGCACAGGAATGCAGCAGTTGCGATCCTCCTCCTTACCCACTGACGGTACGCAGCGCACCCCGTCCACTGGAACCGACGGCTACCTACCTGCCACGAGCCCGTAGTGTAGCTCGCTACGTGGATCAAAGGCCCCGGAAAAGTGACATCCGCCATCACCATGAGCCCAGGCCTTTGTGTTTCCATTGCAGGGAAACAGGTCACCTGTATATTTCTGCCCTCACCGACTGGCAGGATTAAGGGGCCTTCCGTTGTACGCACCATGCCTTCGAAACGGTGAATGGCCAGTGGAGATT